AGATTTTCTTGGTTTTCAGCTTCATGAAGCTGACTTTGGAGCCTCAGTTCTTCCTTCTCGAAGAACCCCAAAATGAACCATTACCACCACATTAAAGAGGACGCTTTCTAATTCAATTAGCACCGAAGTTCTGACCTAAGGAACTGCCAGAAGATGGATTTACGGTGACCCAAACTTGAATCACCAACACTGACAAAGACCCATTTGTTTTCGACTTCAAAATTTAATTTTTCCTACAATACTAAACCAAATGAGTTGCTACAACATGCTTTTGAAAGGTCTTGAAGAGAAATTTCCAATTGTACTAAATATGCTACAGAAATGTCGCCGAAAAATTGAAAAAATTTGAAACCCAAAGTTGGGTTATGAAGAGAACTAACAAAATACAAAAATCTCAAGAAAAATGAATTTTAATCTTACCTTAGAACTTTGATTTGCAACCTTAAAAACCCACGGTGGCAGCCTTCCTTTACTGCTGCCGCTCCTTTTTTTTTTTGGAATCCATATTTTTTATTAGAGAAAAGAATAATTTGTTTAAGATAAATCAGGCAAATATTTACACTTATGAACTTCTAAGATTTTGTTGTGCAATATTAATCCTCTGGCAATATATCACTGATAAACTTATGCAATGTGAAGTGCTCTATAATATTTATCCACTAATCAACAAAATACATGGCAAATTTAAGATTTTATCATAAAATTAGGCATAACAAATTTTGGATTAAAAATATCGCTATCTGAGTAAAAAACGGAATACTTGGACAATAAATAATAAATATAGACAAATATTAAGTTAAAAAATTTTAGACTCAAAATAAAAAAAAAATATTACATCAAAGATTTGATACTCCTAATTATTACTTTTTTTCTATACAAATAATGTTTATTTTAATTACAATAATAGTTATACAAAACAATATAAATTTAGTTATAGACAGAAGGATAGTTGGATAATTTTAACATTAATTTATGTTATTTTTATTTCTTTATTTAAATGATTATTGATTTAAAGAGTGTTTTAAATATACTATAAAATCTTTTTTATGAAAGCAGTTTATTAAGATAAATTTTTTTATAGAGGTGGCCGAATTAAGTTTTAGGGAAGATAATTTATGAGATTAACTCTTTAATCAAGGTGACCGAGATAAACTCTTTTAGTTGAGCTTAGCTCTTTTGGTCAGTTGATCATTTTGATCAATATGGCTCAACTAAGCTTTTATAAAAGCATTTTGTACATCCAAACACTTTTGACCGAGTTAAATCCAAATTCTTTGACAAAGCTGTTTTGTCAAATTAGGTTTTTATGAAAGCATTTTACATATTTGAACTCTTTTGGTCAAGTTGAGTCTAAACTATTTGATCAAGTTATTTTGTCAAATTGAGACTTTGTGAAAACATTTTATAGATCTAAACTCTTTTAATTGAGTTGAGTCTAAGCTCTTAGGCCGAATTGTTTTGTTGAGTTGAGCTTTTATGAAAGCATTTTCTAGATCTAAACTCTTTTAATCAAATTGAGTCTAAGCTCTTAGGTCAAGTTATTTTGTTGAATTTGATCTTTATGAAAGCATTTTGTATATCCCAGTTCTTTTGGTTAAGTTGAGTCTAAGCTCTTTGGCTGAACTATTTTGTCTAGTTGAGCTAAATTCAAGCTTTTAAGTCAAGCTATTTTGTCGAATTGAATCTTTATGAAAGTATCTTGTAGATCCAAATTATTTTCGTTGAACTGAGTTCAAACTCTTTGACTGAACTGTTTTGTTGAATTAAACCTTTATAAAAACTTTTAAAATTTGGAAATGTTAAAGATATGATTTCATACCATTTCCTATTTTGACTTGAAATGTCCACCATATCCATGTGAGAGACCTCAAATTCTTGATTAATGAATTGAAATTTGGTTTCTGTAGTTTTAGAGCAAGATAATAATCACCGTATGAATCATCACGTTGATCATTTCTCCAATAGGAACAATATTGATTAAATAGATCAAGAGATACTAATCTTGTTATCTGTGAGATTGTCATTGGAATTTGACCATGAAAACATGAGTTTAAGAGATTGAGATGAGTCAAATTTGGGATTCTTTCCAACCCACAAGGAAACAAAGTGGTATTAATATTGTTTCCAGCAAGATTAAGGCGTAAAAGATGATAGAGATTGAGAATGGAGAGAAAACTCTCTAAAAGGTTTCTGTAATTAAGAACGAAGCCAATAACATGACCAAGAGCATCATATGTGAGTCCTTTCTAGGAGCAACAATCTATTTTGAGATCCCAAATCTCAACTTTGGAAGAGAAAATAAAATTAGAAAAAAAAATAAAGATCTTGCTGTAACTGAACTAGAGAAAATCTCTGGTCATTAAAGCATTGGCTCTGGATAGTAGCCTTAGATAGCACAACAGGTATGGAGGATCATCCGCATGACAAGGTAGGCACAAAGAGTGGAATTAAGATACAAAGAGTGTTCATGTTTTCTTTCTACAAAAATGAAGGAAAGGTTGTGGAGTTTCATATTTCCATACACCATATTTATAAACTACTACCTTCACATTACACCATATATCATTCAAGCTACCTTGATCTCATTATTTTTTTTAATGAAATTGATTTATAATGTAAAAAATCATTAAATTGAATCGAATCAAATAAATTAATTAGTAAATGAATCAACATACAATTATACAAATTCAGTATAAAATTAAATCACATCTATGTGCTTTATACTTAGTATTGGCATCATGCAAATGTTTCAATCTTTTTGCATGATTAATCTTGGCATCATGAAAATGTTTCAATCTCTTTGCTGGATTGTTGTTTCACAATTGTAATAATCTTATTTGCTGGAGTCTAAGTCATTAAAAAGACAAAAATGTAGCAATAAATAATAGAGATTAGATCATTTTATAACAATGTAAAACTAAAAAATATTAAATTTTTTCTAATCATTGATTTCAATAAATCTAAAAGGTGAGATTAAACTATTTTTTGTCCCTTTTGATTTATATCTCTCGTCTTTTGGATTTCTTAAAATCAATTATTAAAAAATATAAAATTAAAAAATTTAACACTCCTACGAGTTAATCTTACCTTTAAATAATATATATTTTTT